GCTGGTGCCGCCGCTTTTAGCCAGCTGAGGTCCGCAGCAGGCTGGTGGCGCTGGACACTACTGAGAATGGCTGGCAGCGGCCCGAGCAGCTGTGGCCAGCCATTCATAACGGCCATGTTGCCGCGGCGGTCGCTGGAGTTGGGCGTAACTTTCAGGAGTGCGGGCAGCTGTACACGCCTCGCCGCCCGGCGCGCCAACGGCCGTAGCGCCATCGAACTTCCGCATGGACGATGCTCGGCTAGCTGGATGATAACGTGACACGTAATCGGTAAACTGCAATGTGGCATAGGCTGCGCCATCGATTTTCGGTCATTCCAGGTGCTGGTGTGTATGGTGCGCTGAATATGAAAGTGGTATCGAATACGTTTTCGTGTCAGACTGAGGAAATGGGAAGGTTGTTGGTCCCGAAGCCTTGAGGTGTATCTTAACGGAAGTCGCGTCGTATTATTTTTGAGCCGCCTTTCGACCATATATCCAGAATTTACCTTTCACCAGAAGTGCGGGATAGTGCGTCGATATGCTCACTTATTTCGTCCTCTATGTATGATTCGCACAGTGAGTGCTTCAAACTTAGCTGGCTTCTGAAGCACAAAGGTATGCATCTTGGTTTTATATCTTGCTGGGGATGATTGAAGGATTAATTACGCTGGCGAGCTCTCAACTTACAAGGCTGTATCAACCGTCGTCATCAATGCAAGTTTCGTCTGTGCACAGGGTTTGTGGAGTAATAAATTGACTTGGCTTGAAAAAGACTGAAGAGCTGAAAAGGACTGAAAAAGTCACAGGAAGACTGAAAAAGATTGACTTGACTCGAAAAAATGACTTGAAAAAGCAAACCCGGGCAGCAACAAAACTTGGTGAATCGCACGGCTATGCGCCGTGTATTGTACTAACTTTGTGAACGACGATGGATTCATTTTAGAATAGCGGAGTTTGGTGATGTCTGTGCCAGAAGGTTAAGGATAGCGAAGACTGATGTCCTTGACAGTAGGAAGTTAAGGATACCGAGGTTTGGCGATGCCCTTGCGAGAAGGAAGTTTAGGATAGCGGGGTTTGGTGATGTCGTTGCCAGTAGGAAGGTAAGGATAGCGAGGTTTGGTGATGACCTTGCCAGAAGGAAGTTAAGGATAGCGGGGTTTGGTGATGTCCTTGCCAGAAGGAAGTTTAGGATGGCGAGGTTTGGTGATGTCCTTGCCAGTAGGAAGGTAAGGATAGCGAGATCTGGTGATGTCCGTGCCAGCAGGAAGTTAAGGATAGCGAGGTTTAGTGATGTCCTTGCTAGAAGGAAGTTTAGGATAGCGGGGTTTGGTGATGTGCGTGTCAGTAGGAAGTTTAGGATAGCGAGGTTTGGTGCTGTCCGTGTCAGTAGAAAGTCCTATTTCATCAAAGCTCAGGCACGCCTGTGCGCCATACTGCTGGAGCCTACTCTGCTCTACCGGGTACAGCTACCGCCATATATGTACCGATAGCATTTACTTCCGACGTCTTTGCATCACCAAGACACCCCCTCCCCCACGCTTTTCATCTCCGCCTCCGCCAGCGGGCGGCAGAAACCACGGGGATGACGCTGACGGCTCAAAATGGCGGCCACCACACCCCCGACGATGGTCGGCGCCTCGGGGGTGGGCGGAGGCCCACCCATCGTCGGCCGCCGCGGGCTACCGCAGGGCTGCGTCCCAGGTCCTTGCGTGTTTGAACGGCTTTGTTGTGAGACGTGACGCGTTGGTTAGGGGTGGGGGAGCGCGGTGCGCATAGGTGTGAGAGGGAGCTGCCAGTGTTCACGAGCTGCGTCGAACTTTTCGTGATGTCCTGCGATGCGTTGCTGTAAGATGGGCTCGCGGCGCGTTGTTCGTACTTGATTGTGTGTGACGTTTGGGGGGGGGGGGGGGCGTGAGATTTCTTCGGCGCTGCCGCTGCCTGGACCTAACTCAGTTAGATGAATGGATTTTCCCAGCCCCACGCCTGCGACCACTGAGCACAACTTCCAGCCTCGCGTTCGTTTCTGAATTGAATGAACATGACCATGAGCCTGTCGTTGTGAAGACCAAGTTGCCCCGCCTCCCGTTCTGGTCTGCGTGGTTGAAATGCGAGGCATCTTGCGATACGAACCACGATTGCCCTGGATTCGGGCTCTTGCTGATGTGGCGTCATTGATCACGCATTCCAAATAGATTAATACACTGCGCGTTCCGAAACGTGCCATCGTCTAGAACTTGTTTTTAACCACTGCGTACTCGGGTATATGTTGGGTACTCGATGGACCACATATATCCACCGTGCAACCAACATGCGAAGGCGATGGCGTAAATTTGAAATCGAAGCAAAATAACCTGCCAAGGTAAAAAGCACTATTCGACGACTTAAATCGACAACAATCAGCCGCCTTTCCATGCAAATCGATTTAGCGTCGCTGGAAAAGCACCCACAACACCTCCTACCCGCAGCACCCGCGCGCGTTTCGCGCGGTAGCTCCGGACCATCTGCGCCCCGCCCCCTGCCGGTGCCCACCCGGGCCGCGTGCCCTGGCCGGCGTCGGTGCGCCCCCCTCCCCCCGCCGCCAAAACAGGTAATTTCGCGGCTGGCACCGCGATCCTCTGGTCATTTCCCCGGCTGGCGGCGGTCCAGGCCAGCCCGGATGGATCGGTCGGCTATCGATCGACCGGTGGCGCCGCGCCGCGGCCTCATCGCGCACTAACGCGGCCGGCGGCGGCGAGCCGGCCCACGGAAGCGGGAAAAGCTCGGAGGCGGGGTGGCGCCTGCCGCAGGGAGGGAGAGGCGGGGTGTTGGGTGGGGGTGTGGTGGGGTTTTGATGGTGTGGTTTTTGGAAGGGACGGAAGGGGTGGCGCGTTTTAAATTGTATGGGGTAGACCAAAAGCAATCGCCCAGCAAGCCAAGGCGAGGTTGGCAGAATACGCAGCAGCTGCTTGACACGTTGCATGACATCCGCGTGCATAATTCCCTAAATTATTTTTTAGATTTCGGTGAGCTAATCAGGTGGCAGTCGAGTGTGTATGTGTGTGTGTCATTTTGAGGTGATCTTAATGCCCATTCAGGCAGGTAGTAGCTAATAAGTTTTCTGTTCGGGTTCGGTTTGTAGTAGCATCCACCTATTCAATAACCCGTTGTCCTGTTGTCCACTGGTTAGAGCATGGCCATGTGAAAATGATCAGCGCCAAAGGCTCTCGATCGAGACGCTATCGAGGATCCGTGTGTTTCACGGAACAACACATGGCGGTCAGTATATGCAAATATTTGTCGCATGGTTACTATCAAAGTATGCTGTTAACATATGCAAAATTGGACATACTAACTGCAGGTTGCAAAATGATATCATCATGAAGCCATAAAAAAATTGTTAAGACAACGTTTCCGACATCTCAGCTCCAACAGATGCATTCGCGTTTTGGCAGGATGCCAATCATCAGAGCAGGTGGGCAGGACCACTGCAGCGGTCGGGTCCCGGAAGGGATGTTGCCGACCAGTTGTTCCTGAGCGAGGCGTCGGTGTCGCTTCGCGTCGCTCACGAAACTGCCGACGAATTTCGCCGTCAAACCGGTCTGAATGCCCTCATTTTCCGCTCCACGATTGCGGCAGAGTTATTGGCAACATTTGGCAATGCGGTGTTGTTCGAGCATTGGGCTCTAAATTGCGTGTATTCTGACCCCAGAAAATCTTTCCTCCAGTCTTATGGACGTTTGATATGCAGCGAATGCCTTGGAGCATTTCCGCAACATCTCAAAGCATTCCCGGATACCCTTTGATCATTTGATGTGAGTGATAGAAATTCTACATGCATGGAACATCTTTACTAAGGGTGAGAAGGTTTTAGACATCGTCTTACTGATTCCGATGGTATTGGTGAGAATGGTAGGGGTTGGAGCGCGATACTTCCGGATATATGGTATAGCTATGCGGGAAGGCCCGAGTTGCTGCTACGCCGTTCCGGGCCTGGTGTGTACTTGCCACTTTTCCAGCAAAAAAGCAGATTTGAGAACAAAACATCAACGTTGAGGGCAAAAAATTAAGAAGATCAGCAAAAACCTCTTCTTGCAGCAATAGTTGGTGATTACTCAATGCTATTGTTACTTAAACTGCATGAAAATTGTTAGTTTGGTTTACAGTGTACCTATGCATAGTGATATGGACTAAAGCAGCCTAAACATATATTTTCGGGAAGAGCAGGAGCGAGCCAGCAGGAAATCCGATAGAACTGTCTCATCGGTCTCATTTGGAAAAAGCGGCATACGGTACCAAACACATTACATAACCCTCAAAGTCAGCACATTTTGGACGGCAGAGAAACGAGAAAGTTCTTAGTGCCCAGTGACGTCACTAGTTCAGGATCTCCAAGTCCAACCCATTCCATGCACGCCCTCCAAGTTTTGCAAGAACTTCTCGGATAAAAAACTTATTCGTTCGCGTGTGGCTTTGCTAAAGTCAACTGCCTCCCCCCTACCCGTAACATCCCCCTTCCGAGTGTTCAGGGACGCGCCTCTGGCTGACCACACCCCCTTCCACAGCGTCGGCTCAGGGACGCGCCTCCGGCTGACCACGCCCCCTCCCGCTCCCGCGGCGTCGGCTCAGGGACATGCGTCTGGCCCACCACGCCCCCTCCCGCTCCCGCAGCGTCGGTCCATGGACCCGCCTCTGGCTGACCACGCCCCCTCCCGCTCCCGCAGCGTCGACTCATGGACGCACCTCTGGCTGACCACGTCCCCTCCCCCTCCCACAGCGTCGGCTCATGGACGCACCTCTGGCCGATCACGCCCCCTCCCGCTCCCGCAACGTCGGCCCATGGACGCGCCTCTGGCTGACCACGTCCCCTCTCCTCTCCCACAGCGTCGGCTCATGGACGCACCTCTGGTTGACTACGTCCCCTCCCCCTCCCACAGCGTCGACTCATGGACGCACCTCTGGCTGACCACGCCCCCTCCCCCCTCCCACAGCATCGGCCCATGGACCCGCCTCTGGCTGACCACGCCCCCTCCCCCCTCCCACAGCGTCGGCCTGCCAATCGACCGCTGCTCGTCACGTGACAAGGGCCAGCCGCTCTGCATGGAGCAGTATCATCGCGTCATGACCACCTACCGGCGCCCGGGGCGGTCACGTGACTACCAGCTGGACACGAGCAGTGCGCAGGCGCAGTACATCATGGTCTGCTGCGGCGGACAGGTGGGGCACCGGTCAGGCGAAGCTCGCGAACGCATGAAAGGTCATCTCATCGCAACTTCTGAATGCGGCTAAGCAGTCGTGACTTCCATCAGTTCAGAACAGGACCATTCCTGGACTTGGCATGCAACGAATAGCACATCGGCTATGACATGTCGGCAGCAGGATGCACGCCAAGAATGACTGGAGCAAACGAAAGTATTTTAGAACGACCATGTAACATCGCCTTTGTGGTGGTGTTCATAGCAACTATACTGTAATAAGCGGGATTATGTTGTTGCACGGATGCGGAAATGCTACCCAACCTTGTTGCTATTTACGTCAATAACAATTTTCCAGAGGCCGGGGCTGTAGATGAAGGGATGGGTAAGGGGCCGTGGCCTCTCCTTGAACCAAGGTTGTTACATTAGGTACTGGATAATCTCTCACAACATTCGGCTGATTTTCGTAGGATCTTGGAGAAAATTTCTCATTTGTTCCCGCGGAAAATTTTGGCTGTCTGCCTGCTAGAGACGCACCACTTTTACGTCAAACGCGCGCCATCGCTTTGGACCAGCCTTGCGACAGACACCAGAGCCCGCTTCAGCCTCCTCTCGTGGATCACTGTGCCCTCCTTTCCCATCTGCATGCAAAAACCCTTCCCCGCACAAAACTGCCACTTGTTTGCCGCTATCCTGGTGCTGCTATCTCTCCCCGGGGACGAGGGGGCACCGGAGCGAGCGCCCGATCTTGGTGAGCCCTCTCCTCCCGCCGTCGTAAAAAGGCGTGTCGTAACTCGGTCGTAAACGCCGCGGAAGCGAGTTACGACTTGGAAGGAGAGTGCTGTTTCCTGGAAGTGCCGTATGTCAGAGGGAGGCTCTTGGCCTGTCTGGACTATACTAGTCCTTGGTGAGTTGAACTGTAAGTGGTAAGGGCTTCAGAGCAGTCGTTGCGGGCACCGTGGGTGGTCTGTTCTGGGATTAACGTTGCCATGCTGCTCTGCCTGAGGGCACACAAATGTATCACATTTTCTTAATTTAGCATAGAACCTTCGCCTGGCTTCCCTTCAAGCGAGTCGTCCTCTAGTTAAGTCAAAAGATAATTTAGCTACCTATAGGGTAACCCACCTGCTACATGCAGCCAGTCAATGTTTGTCGAGCTCAGTCTGTTGTGATATATTACCTTCCAGTCTCTGATAGAGATGCACTTCAGATTAATATATATGCATTTATATATATATATATATATATATATATATATATATATATATATATATATATATATATATAATGTTTATAAGGAAATGCCGGCAAGCGAATGGTATGGTTAGCATGGAGAACCATTGTTTGTATTTATGCGTTGCTATTGGATAGAGCTTAAGAAAATTAAATTCACTCGTCAAAAGATTCAAGGATACAACGTCTAAAGGGAGCAATAAATTCCCTTAAGTACCCACTAGACGAAATGGAATGAAAAAACCTCCGCGACGGGCAAAACTTAACGCTGATGCGAGGTGTTTTCTGCCTCGGCCAGTCATCTTCTGGTACTTTCCGCCTCGGCCAGCCATCTTCTGGTATTTTCTGCCTCGGCCAGCCATCTTCTGGTATTTTCTGCCTCGGCCAGCCATCTTCTGGTATTCTCTGCCTCGGCCAGCCATCTTCTGGTATTTTCTGCCTCGGCTAGACGCCTTCTGATCTTGATCAGCGTGCTCCACGCATAGACACGAGCCATGTGCTGTCTTTCCTGTGCGATAATCGTTCTGGTTGGCTGGCTGCATGCATAGGTTGGGCTCCAAACTTCTTGCAGTGCAGCTAAGGGGTATTTTTAATGTTCCATCGATATACTCGAAGTGCGTCCTGAGGCTCAATGGAAACCCTACAAAAACTTTGTCGCTGCTTCGCGTACGTGCCTTTTTCTTCTCGTCATTGCAACAATCACAACTTTACCCTTAGGGGCATAAGTAGCACTTTCCAATTATTCTGGGAGGATACATGTGGGAGATTTCCACACACCCATATCCCGTCGCTCCCCGCCTTCCGTTCTTACCCGCCTTCCGTCTCTTCCCCGCCTGTCCCTCCCCGCCTCAACCTTCTCAGCAGTGAAATTTTTCACAACCGCCTGCGTGTGTTCATGGGCATGGGAACGCTTGAAAAAATGCAACGACACCCATTTTGAAGTCGACCTTTTCTTTGTATGACGATGAAGTGGCCGTTTGAATCCTAAAAGTGAGGGCATACCCCCCCCCCCCCCCCCCCCCCCTCATAGCCCCATGTCCTACATAGCGCGCTGTGGCCTACGCACAGACTTGCCATTAGTAAACGCCCTCTCCGTTTACAGCAATTTCAGCTTTCGCTGACTGAGGACTGGGAGCCTCTCACGGTCGACGAGCTGGCCTTCCAGTTGCGTCGCTGCCAACAGATGGCAGAGCAGTCGCCCGACTCTTGCCAGGTGGCGCTGCTGACGTCAGACGACCGGCGAGTCTGGGGCGAGAGTCGAGAGGCCCTCATCAACGGTGAGTCGGGAGGACCTCATCAACGGTGAAATGATTATTTCCCAGCTCTCGCACGGAACATGACGTGCCTCGTGTACGGCGGCGTGCATTAATCCTCGCGAGCTGTTGCTGCTGGTTCTGAACCCGTCACTGAGAACCAAATCTAACTGCTTGTCGGCGACTAGCAGGCCAGTATTGAAAAGCGGGAAAGATCAGAAGTGGCCTATCCTTTTATGTGCATTCTCCCACCAATGCAGCTGCAATTTTGATTAAAAGCAACCTTTTCCAAGACGTAACTTGGCCCAGGCGGGGTGAAACGCCTGAGGCAAAAAAAAAATAGAAGAAGGAAGAAACCGTGACAGTCAGGTGATGTTGACAGTCGAAAGGAGAGACTTGAGGTCTTTCCGTATTTTAGGCTGCAATATACGTGGACGTGATTGAAAGAGGGTTTGAAATACATCAATGATGTGGATTGATGGGGTGTGGGGGGGGGGGGAGGCCGGAGACGTGATGTGTACGTCTCTGTCGAGAGCGTCAAAAGCTGGAAACGGCATGAAAATCTAATGTAGCGGGGAACCACGCACTGCTGCGTCTCTCAGTCCTGCCCACGTTGCTCGGGCACGCCTAATATCCTGCGGGTCTCCTTTGAGTAAGGCCAGCGACCGTGCGTAGGAGATTTTGTTCCTGTTGTGCTACTCAGGCACTTCACGTCTTACATCATTCCTTAGCATAATTCAGGGGCACAGCCAGAATTTTCTTAAGAAGGAACGGGGGAGAGGTCAAAGCTCAGTGTGAGTGCGTCACGCTCAGGGGCGTAGTTTCTTAAAAGAATTTGGGGCTGATGTGTGAAAATGATCTACCAAAAATGAAAAATGCCAACAAACTGGCTTTTATCCGGATTTGGTAAATCTCTTCCCAAGCTTCGGGGACTGGACCCGTGCTCAGAATGAAAGAGACCCCTCCAAAAGAAGTTACCTCCTGATCTCACAGATTCCTAACATTCTGTCCGGAGCCAACGGTGGTAACAAATGTACAAATGCAGGCCTCAGAGGGGCCCCTCTCCCCTTTGATGCACCTGTGGCGCTATAGCTTCAAAATCGCCCATGCACGCCAGAGTCACTCCAGCCGAACAGAATCATACCAACTCTCCCTTCGCTCCCCTGCAGCGGACCACCTAAACGCCGAGACGCTGGCCACCATCGAGAACTGCCTGTTCGTGGTGTGCCTGGACGCGCCGCTGCCGACCTCCTTCAACGGCCGGAAGAGGCTAAGCTTCGACGGCGGCGTGACCGACGGCAGGGACGACACGGCAATGGCGCACCAAATGCTGCACGGCGGCGGTACCCTTTTCAACACGGCCAACCGCTGGTTCGACAAGACCATCCAGGTTAGACACGAAATGTCTTCAGTGAAATGGCTTGGAAATGAATTGGACTACGGAGTGGTTCACTCTCTGCTCAACCCGTTTTGCCTCTGTTTAAACAGAGGTTAAAATGGAGGTTTTGGAAAGTTTTTTTTTAAGTTCCGTCGATTTTTGGCGAATCTACTTTAGTTCAACTTGAAATGCCTATATTGAGGGGAACGGGACGAAATTCAGGAAGACGTGCCTCAAACTCCAATGAATATGCATGTTATATTGGGCAAATTTTCCAAACAAGGGTCAAGTAAGATGGCCATGCAACATGCAAGTCGGCAGAGCGTCCTCATTCCGAACCCTACGTGAGCTGAGGTAGTTGTCCACAGCAGCAACTAAAGCTTCCCGATATGTCCGCCAGATGGTGGTATCCTCAGACGGGGTGTCAGGTCTATGCTACGAACACTCGGCAGCCGAGGGCATCGCAGTCGTTCAGCTGATGGAACAGCTGGTGGCGTCAGCTGAGCGTGATGACGTCACTCTGGAACCACCGTCCCGTCCATTGGAATCACCCAATCAGCTGGAGTGGTTCCTAAACGACGATGTCAAGGCGCGGATCGAGAAAAGCGCCGTATCGGTGGACCGGTAAGCCGCCAGGTAACGCGTTGTCCGCAGTTTGTCACCTCATACCGCATCGCTGTGACGCTCCGTCTCAAGGGAGACTGGCTGCAGCCGTCAGCCTCAAGTCGGCCTCACTACCACCCCAAAGGGGGGAGGGGGGGGGGTCCGGGCCCCGGAGGCCGGAAGTGCCGGAGGCTCCATGGCGGCGACCATTCCTTTCTGCCGGAAAACCGTGACACTTGCAGCACTCCGCGAAGAATCAAATAATCTGAGGACGGCAGCCTGCGGCGTGCAATGTTCCGCCATGTTCTCACAGTTTTTAGAGGTGACGCATGACCGTGAAGGAGTGTTCCGCATCTGTATGGGGTTTTATACTCAAATAGCGATCTTGAAGATCACTTGGTGCCGTTTACAGCCATGCTCTCCTTAAAACATATACTCCTGTAGTTTCTGAGCTACACGCCGTCTAAGATGTGCAGTCTGTTTCGTGGTGACTATTTCAAGGTCGCTCAGTCATCCATGACGCCATAATAACGTCATTCAAATGTTATCGTTCAATTTGCCATGTGGTGATCACTGCCAAGAGAAATATAATTGCCGTGTGGTTCGTATCAGTCGCTCGTCAGCACGATTCCAGGCATAACGGGAGTCAATTGGCTCTCAAGTAATTATGCGCAGGGAACAATGACGTAATCAAACAATGAGGCATTGGAAAGCATGTTTACTCAACAGAAAATTGTGTTTTCTAGAGCAGCACTTGCTACGTGAAAGTATGCCAAAAGCTATAGGCCGGCTTATTTTATTATATCTCACGCTTCTTCAACCTCTTAAAATGTGAAACATTCCCTCTAACGTGTGCCTGCGAAACAAGTATCGCAGGTTAATCTCACTTCTTGCTTGCTTGCAGGCTGATCGATGATCTAGACTTTCTGGTGCTGCGTTTTCCGGACTATGGCAAGAACTTTATCAAGAGCGTTCGCTGTAGTCCTGACGCCTTTTTGCAGTTGGCACTGCAGTTGGCATATTACAGGTGAAATATCAGTTCGGTTGTTGCTCGGACCTGGGACGAGTGTGAGAAATTGTTCGATGCAGCGATTCGGGCGCCGCGTTAACCCATCAACATGCTGTTTTGTGCTCCTGTTTTCATGATTATGTATACATCACTGAACTTAAATTGTTCATTGAAAGAAACCCCTTCATGCACCACCAAACCATGTCGGCTACTAATACTATCGCTGCCGACGGTGGTGAGCTTATGCTAGCGGTGAGACAGACCGTGTTGTCAAAATACTGCGCCCATCTAACTTACTGACCCATTCGTCCTTTCGTGAAGTAACCTTACACGTGGACCATTGTGGTCCTGATGCGCCCCTCAAAAGGATCGGCGACGAAGAAAGTCAGCTGAGCACCGCTCTTACAACTCCCCCGCCACCGCCACGTGCTGCGCCTGCCAGCGCGCCTCCGCCCCGACTGACCAGCTCTCGCCGCAGGCTTCACGACGACCTGGTGGCCACGTACGAGTCAGCCTCGACCCGACGCTTCCGCCAAGGTCGGGTCGACTGCATCCGGGCAGTGACCCCTCAGGCGCTGGACTGGGTCAAGGTCATGGGCGACGTCAGCATCACGGTGAGGGTACCGGCGTGCGATGGTGTTTTGGTTGTTGTGTGTCCAGGTTTTAAGTTTGGTTTATATATATATATATATATATATATATATATATATATATATATATAAGAATCGATGACGAAAGTACCTACCTGCCTACCCATTTTGCCACATCTATCTATATATAGATATTTATTTATTTCTCTGCATATACATATATATATATATATATATATATACGCATACCTTAAAACAGGTTTTCATATGACGTATAATGTATGCCACAGGTGGCATACATTATAATGTATTCTTTCATTTTGGAGATTCCAGCTTTCCTGACTTTAGATGAGAAAGCTTCAGTGTGGAGATTGTAGGCTTTTGAACAGGCGTGAGTTGTTTATAGAAATGGAATAACGTAATCGTATAAAGCTGAGCAAACAGGTGTAGAGGCAGGACAGAGATGTAATGATATAGAAGGGTATGGTTTACTGTGCCTGAACTAAGCAGGATCAACATGCCCTCGATAAAGGAAGCATAACAAAGAAGACATCTAGTATATGTACTCTTTTCTTTGAGATACCATTCAAAACGGCTTCGTGTTCAGCTACGAAGCAATGATAACACCATGAGCGAAATAGCTTGAAAGATACTAGTTACCACCTGACACTACAGGAATTCCATATACTTACAAGGAATGAAGGGAAACTGAATTTTTCATTAGATTGTACTCTTTAATAAACCAACTAGGAGTTGCTCGTTACACGACGTTATGGTCTGAACATTCGTTTTATTGATACCAGTCGGCGATTCCAGCTGGACTTATGAGCACGGCGCGTCATAAGCACAGACTGGAACTTCGAGCACCATCAATGTAACCTTTGTTTGCACTATAACATCGTTTAATTAGTAACTCATAGCACAGAGAACATCGCTAACTCGTTATAAGAGGTTTGAGCCCATTACACTGAAAAACTGGGAACTAAAAGCTTTTCTTTCTATATCAAGTAGCATATTTTTTCATGGTCGTGGCCAGGAGAATCTTAGGGAAGCCTGTGAGGCCCTCCGCCCGTCATCGATCGAACCCAAACGCCACGAGCGCCTGGGGCGCTCCGCCCGTCATCGATCGAACCCAAGGCCATGAGCGCCCGAGGCCCTCCGCCCGGCAACGATCGAACTCAAACGCCACGAGCGTCTGAGGCCCTCCGCCCGGCAACGATCGAACCCAAAGGCCACGAGCGCCTGAGGCCTTCCGTCCGGCAATGATCGAACCCAAACTCCACGAGCGCCTGAGGCCCTCCGCCCGGCAATGATCGAACCCAAACTCCACGAGCGCCCGAGGCCCTCCGCCCGGCAACGATCGAACCCAAACGCCACGAGCGCCTGAGGCCCTCCGCCCGGCAATGATCGAACCCAAACACCACGAGCGCGGCGTAACGCCCCTGTCTTGGCTCTGGCAGCGGGGTGAGAAGATACGCCTGTTCCGGACGGCGCTCCACCTCCAGACGGACATCATGGTGGAGAACATCCTGGGCCAGGGCATCGACATCCACCTGCTGGGGCTGCAGGAGATGGCCACCGACCTCGGCATGGACACGCCGCAGCTCTTCACACATCAGAGCTTCAGCATCGCCAACCACTTCGGCCTCTCCACCAGCCAGGCGCGTGCTTGAGAGGCGCAGGGGCTTTACGGAAGGATTTTATTTCGAAGAGTTTAGGATTTGAGGATTTCATTGAGACCATGCATGAACATTACCTATGGACTTATTGTTCTCGGCTGGTGTCCTGACATGTGCACGCCTTGAAACGCACTAGACGAGGACAAAATATTAGATAATGTTTTGATAATTATCATTAGATAATTATTCCGCACGTAAGAGGTGCAGAGTCTGGACACCACCACGCCGGCAGGCGGTGGTGAGTTGGCCCGCCAGGGCTGCTTTCAACGACGCCTGACCTGGCTTGCCGGCACGCGCCAGGCACAGTCGGCACCAGCGGTGTCGTCTGCTAAAGCTGGACCGTCTGGCCGTGCATCTGTACGATGACGTCAGCGCCCTGGTACCCAGAAAACGATGCATGCGTGTCTTAGTTACCGACTCAGTTCCACCCCACTACCAGTTGTCCGCTTAAAACCTGGAATATGCGTAATGTAAATGGTAATATAGCAGAGGTTTTAAGCTCCCCGTCGTCCGTAATTTGGAACATATTCCTAGGTTTTGGACAAAAACGGTCAGGAACGGCAAAATCGACCTTGCTGGCTCGTACGCAGGTGACAATTGCGTTGAACCCGTTGAAAATGACCAAATCCAACTTTCTAGATCGTGTCAGTACGTCTCATTTGTCATTTCCCTTCGATTCACTGCCTTGCTGTGTAAATGCGGGTCGGTCGGACGCGTCGTTTTCTAGATCTGCGTCCGGAAATGAAAGCCTTCTCGGCCATCCATCGATTGGTGACAAATTTGCATCGCCAATCGCCCAAATGTGCATCGCCAAACGAAGGAATTTTGCGAATTTATGTCACTCGCCACGCACTGACGGTGTGAGAAACAGAGCCGTCATGTGCACTGCCAGCCGACGCTGGCGGGCCCTGATCCCGTGGAAACTCGCCGCCGTTTGGCCTAGGCAGCAGATGCTCGCCGATGGCGGAAAAACACAAGCACAAGCGCACACGCACAAACACAATCACGCACACTTCGTTTAGTATAATAGAGATTGCAGCGATTGCTTATCACACTAAAAACGGTGCGTCTTGGTATTCTGAAAGTGGTTTTTCACAAAATAACCCAAAACAGTTTCGGTTGGTAGAAATTACCAAGTCACAGACCCATCCATGACTGGTCAATCAGGCTTAGAACCATCAGAAATGATACTGCTCAACGTAGCATTCTCATATGCGAAAATCAACAGCTGCGACAGCTGCCTAAGTCGTGTGACGTCATACCCGCCGCAGGTACCGACGCAAAACGGTGAGTCCTTCATGGGCTACGGCGCGGTGGTGCCCGACGGCTACGGCTGCTCCTACAACCCGCAGCCCGACTTCATCGTCTTCTGCATCGGCAGCTTCCACTCCTGTGAGATGACCTCATCCGAGGCTTTCGGCAGCTCCATCAGCGAGAGCCTGGGCCTGATGCGCGACCTGCTCAAGTCGTCGGACGCTTGGACCAGCAGCGGGTAACGAAGCGGAAGGCGGTGATGGTGATGATGCCCAACAGGGTGATGACGTCACCGGGCTGGTGGCCGGTAGGCAGTGGTAGACGGGGAGCGGTGTGTAAATGTTTAGGGATGTGAATGGGACTGTGTTGTGGCGTTGGTCGAGCGCTTCATTGTTGGACCCGCACAACCAGAGGTCACGTTTGTTGCGAGGCGGTTTGCCTCGGTGGAACCCACACATATCACGCGTTGGCTTTACTTGTTCGAAGATGATGTAGGCTATTTACACGTTATCGCACGCTTGTTATTGCTCATTAGATACGCATAGTTTAACACTGGTAACAGAAGTTCCCGGCCAACGGTTGGCTGCCGGTAAATAGGATGAAAAACGTCACATATTAACGCATCAGGCCAGTCCTTATGATCGGGCCGTCATACTAAGTGATTCATGGCTGACATTCTCCGTCGTCCAACCGAGTTAAACCGCGCTTCGACCAGCTGATCCGATCTAGGTTTTCTTTGACGATGTATCTGCGAGACCTAGCGGATAGTTCCAACCAGCAGTGTTCGCCATGATAAACGGGCTTTATGGTGGACGCCTCCTTGGACATAGACGTATAGCCGCTTACATATCAGGCGCATCCGGTGCATGCACACAGTGCGTGGTTCTCGTCACTGTGATACAGTGCATCTATCGATGCTGTTAACCATATCATATGTGTATGGCTAACGTCATTCAGTTCTCTTAGTAGTTTCTATCCATTTGAAGAATTTGTCGTGAGACGAATCTTCGAAACGGCCGTGTGAGTGAGCGATGTTTGTTACGTTACCGCCAGCCGTATTTGATGCAATCTCAGAGAAGTGGAGGAGGTCTTACCGGACTCTGAATGAACGCCGCTTACTTCGGAGATTTAACGGTTGTCCGTACGCTGTCGTCGTTGATTTGAATGCATAAGAACGGGACCGGCAACGTTCATCTCGCAAATGGGTCTAACAAGGTTAGATCCACTCGTGATGGACGAAAAGATGATGCATCTGCCTGTCTGTCAGAACCAAGCAGACCCGGGAAAACAAGAAACGTTACATACTGAATGCTCGTCAGACACTGTCAGGCTATGGGCGCAAAGTGACCAAGGCAGTGGAAGCACCCCTGAACCCAAATATCATCAATGTCACCACTGTCAGAGTACAGGTGTCAGCTACAATTGGAGACTTGGGTCTACCCTGGAGGTGAACGAACCATCGTGTTGGCATATTGATTCCAGGGCGGGTTTAGAGATGAAGCAGCACACGTGACTTCGCTTACGCCAGGTTACGGGCATAGACAGGCAGTAAGCTAAGCAGCAATGAAATACACGTGGGTCGCCTTTCATTTCAAACAACGCAGCATTTTTTGTTGGCGTTCGTGAGCGCCATCTTTGCTTCGCCACGATGTGATAATAGATTGCAGCTTGTGAGGGCGTGCACCAGTAAATACATATCATTGATGTGATAAGCATATGAGTGGAAAACGTGCAATATTGGTTGCAAGGACATTTTGTTTGGCGTGTTGCAATGGTGGAAGTGTGCACTGTTTATTGTTGTGGAGCCGTTAGCTGTTGGGTGCTGCCTGCACTACCTGGATTTTGCTCGTGTGATGGTTGCGACATTGCATCTTGCCCAACCCAGCGCCACCGCCGAACAATAAAAACTGCCCATGGAAAACAGACCTTTGCAAACCATCAGCAAAGAATGTGGACGCTCAGTTCACCACTAGCATATCTGCAGTCATTGTGAACGCCCATTATCCACGTTGTGTACACAAACTCTGCATCAGTTTCGTGTGATCTGTTAGTCAACAGCAAAACGGCAAAGCGACCAATACAAAACACACACTACGATCACATATTTACAGAGCGCAGACGTCCAGCCGTCGTGACGTCACTCGAGAGATGTCGTGACGTCACTCGAACATCGCGACATTAGATCCAGCCGAAACAGGCCCCGATCAGTGATGATCAGTTGACCGTGCGCTGGTAAAGCTTACCACCAAAGTGGCGCCCTGCCACGACCCACAAAGACTGACACCATAACCGTCCACTTAAAATGAAAAAGTGAACTTAAAATGGGCTCCAAATCATTCACAGAAAGGACACCCAGTGAATGGGATCTGAAGACCCTTCCGGCATCATCTCAACGCCGTGAACAAATGACGCTGATGCCATTGAAGTCCTGTGAAATGTACAACAGACTTAAATCGTCGTACAGCGAAACTAAAACTGCGGCCTTGTAAGAGGGCGTCTTTGGATCAGCGAACAGTGGCAGGACCTCAACCTAATGCAGTTTTAATCCGACACGCACACAGAAAATCCGATCCATCTAACATTCCGCAAATTTAATTGCTTCGCAAAGCCATGTACCCCACACACGTATGCCTACTTCGAAGTACGCCTTCTAACACTTCAGGGGCGCACAATCGACGTCTGCTGCGAAACGGCGCTCCATTGCTGAGACACACGCGGGACTCCAACCCGTGGCCCGGACCCGCCGCCGGAAATCCCCACAGATGTCACCACCTGCGCGCCGTCAGGTTCGCCGCTAGATGTCACTACTACTCCGCGTCGTGCAAGACCGCCTGGCGATCCAGGTGATCGACGTACGTCTTGCCGATGTAGAGCAGACCGGCTGCTGACGTCATACCGATCATAGCGCGGAACGTGGCGCACTCAGGCGTGGCTTGGCGCAGTATGGCAAACAGAAGCACTGAGCCCATGTTGAAGAGAAGGGAGCCGAAAACGCTGAAACGCAAAGCCAGGGGTGGTCAACTTTATGGGTCCTTTGCTATGTATAATATAGTTAAGGAATATATCAAAATATGTTTGAAAGGTTGTCACCACACGAGGGTTTCCTGCCAAACACAAAAACTCTAAGTTCATGGTGCGTGATCAAGGCAGCATGATTGACACACCTCAATCAACACAGCCTAATTAATGCATCCTGATCCACACAACCTGATCCACACAACCCGATCCACACAGCTTGGTCAACACAGCCTAATCCACAGAGCCTGACCAACACAGCCTGCCCCTTGCCCCACCTCACCTGAAGGTGACCTTCTTGCAGATGTGCTGGTGCCGCAGGTGCCGGCTGCCAAACAGGTACAGACCGATGCCCAGGTTGGCGTGCACCAGTGCCAGGTTCGACACGGGCACAGAGCGAGGCACCAGTCTGATGGGGAGATGGTGTGGGCAAGGTCAGGCCATACCACGCAGAGCAGGTGCAGCAAAGACTATGATAATTTCTGTCCCCAGTTGGTGTTAACTCTTCATAGGAGTTTGATCCCAGGCATGATTTATCATTGTTTTTGTCTTTCCACAAAAGGGAAAGAGACAAATGCCACCATGCACCCTTTTAAGGATCATTGGCATCTGCTACTGCTCCATAAAAGTATACACAGAGAATAAGAAGCTTACAATAATAAAATGTGCAATAGCCTGATATCATTAAAAACTATACTGTATATTCAGATCTATATATATATATATATATATATATATATATATATATATATATATATATCACAATTTAGCACAATTTCATGACCTTAACAGCTAGCAGTAGCACACATTAATTCAGACATGTGTGGCAACCTTGATTATGGCAGGGCTGTACACAGGGTTGATTAGAGGCAGGAATGCACACAGGATTTTGGCATCAGGTGCACACATTCAGTGATTTGCTCATTCTGTAGTGTCTCTGTCAAATCAAATTTTAAGCATAGAGCATAGCATCCAATTTTCCATATTGCCATCAGATGTCAACAATTTTCCATTTATTAATCTAAATTGATTTACATGCATATCAATATCTCTAAAAATTCAATAAGGGGTGAAGAGTGCCACCTTGTAAATAATTCCCAACAAAGTTACAGCTGACATATGAAACTTCGATCAAAGCAGACACACCAAGCTGATGGGTTGAGTTTACCTATGTGCAAATCACACCAATCACAGAAAAATTGTTAGGCAAACCATTCAGCTTACACAATATCATTGAAACATGGCTCTATCACCTACAGCAACAACAAGCAACATATGCCAACAGCCAAAACCCTAAGCATTATGTGTTTCATGGAAAAGAAGTGATCAAAACACTAACAAAAGCCACCTGTGGCAATTCAGGCAGTCTTATACTGTACAATCCACTACAATTACAAGCATGTCAATCATGTAAGCATGTAAATCAAATCATGAAATAAAATACAGGGCTAAAAAACCATCATGCATAGTCAAAACTCCTGTCAGAAGTTTTTTTCCTCGAGGAAACACTGTCCAATGTGACATATTGCATCACAGTAACAATTTGGCAATATTTGCACCAGTGTTCACTGGCAAACATCGTGACATGCCCCAAACTTACGGAAAGGAGCTCAGAATTGCCGGATGCATGACATGACCGGCAAAGAGAACATAACATGATGCTCCTTTCATGGGGTAGTAGAAATACAACAAATTTTCTTTGGTGAGACGACGGAGACGCATCCTGACAAGCGTATCATTAATCTGACGAAGCATGTTTAAAACTGTAGCTCTGACTTCACCACTGGTAAAAAATGGAGAGCCTGTCTCTCCAACCAAATTTCGGACCGGCCGGTTATCAGGACAACGGCAACGAGCGGCCGATAGGAACCGTGTCAGTACCCACTCCGCACCCCTATCACACGCGGCAGTGACTGATGTAAACAAGCGCGTACGCAGTTTTGGCACCGAACAGACGTATGTCTCATATGCGTTGAAGCCGTCCAGATTGGGTAGGGACGCGGCGCTGAAATTCTTATTTTTGTACGTTAAGTCCTAACGAGCTTAAACAAATCATAAGTCAAAGTGTTTTGTATTAGAACAAACAACGCTGTAGTGTATATTTTATCCAAGAGATGAAAAATTGTGGCACAGGAGAAATTTTAACCCGAGGGGTTGTTACTTAGGCGCTATGAGTAGGGCCCTTATGGTTCTTACACATCACAGCATGACCCTTGCCAAAAGTCCTTTGGCTATGCGAGTGAAGATGGACATACCCAGGTGAACATGGGGTGTTCATATCAGTGCAACCTTTTCACCCTGTTGCTACCTACATTAGTGGTGAGTCACGGGGCTCCTTACTTTCCATCTAGAGCCACAACAGCGTTCGGCAACCTCTCAATTGGCATCGGTTTAGATATGGTAGAATGAATCGCTGTAATATGAGTAGCGCCAGAGGTTTTTTTCAACGTTTATACAAAGTCGTTTAATCCGTTATTCCTTCCAGAGAAGACAGATTCCAAAGAGATGTGAATGCCATTTTTGAGACCATTCTTCTTATGCAACGCCATCGATGTAACGTTAATTTTCGGAGACATTGGGAATGAAGCTGCACACAGTTATACCCATCGTTCCTTCATTTTAGTAGTTAGTGTATCCATCGTTCCTAATTACAAGCAAAATGAAACCTCCTTTTGGTCTCTGGCTCGCGTTTCAGCCAAGTAAGGCAAAAACACAGAATAAATGCAGAACACTGAGTCTCGGAAAAAACTGAGCCAGCTGTGATGATTTTTGTGGAGACTTTTTGACAACAGCGACCTTTCATTAACCTCTCTACAAAGGCTCCGGTTTCCGCCCCGCCCCGCCCCCTCCCCCCTACCTGATTGGTCGGCACAATAACGAACATGTAAATGACAAGGGTTTATAACACTTATTTTAATCTCTTGCTGCTGATTTATGATCGTTGAGATACAATTCACCTTAATTGTAACCAAAATAAAAAAACGCGCATTTCGAAACCGGCAAGATGTATGCTAGAGCTCGACTGGCATGTTTCTAATGGTAAACTCCTGGGTCACGTCCTCCCTTCCCCGCACCCCATGACCAAATGCGTGGTTATGGGGCGCGGGGAAATATAAATCGAATTTTGAATCAAAGGAAGACATCTAAAAAAACGGAAACATGGAATGTCGTTCTACGTAAAACCACAAATTTCGCCCTAAATTCGGTGCAAGTGTGCTACATATAGCGCATTTTTAAAGTTGCTCCCCCGTTGCGAGACTCTGCGCACGCCACCGGTTATTTTGTGGGGACAAAACACATAGACATCACCGCATGGTACCTTCACATGGTACCTTTAACACAAAGCTCTGATTTCAAGTAGACGCGTCCCATCGGTTGCCTCCTTTCGGCGCCCGCCGCTTCTGCTGTCACCGACCTCCAGTGTTCGCCTCTGCCGTCACCAAGCTTCTGCGCCCGCCGCCCCCGCTGTCACTGAGCTCAGGCGTTGCCGGGGTGCCGAGACACGTCGCCTGCACGCACGCAACTGCACTGCGCTGCACTGCACGCGACTTTTCGAGGCGAGAACAGCGGGGCTCTGAAGGGGCGGGATCTCGGTGGAGCCTAACTCCGCTCAGTGTCGGCCGCCAGGTGTTCAGTGAGAGCCACAGGTCGAGGTAGCTGTCAATCTCGTCTCGACGAGAGGGAACGGCGTAATATGGCCGCTCATGGTGCGTAATATGACCGCTAATGCTGCGTTGTGTTACCAGAATTTTAAAGCCTATCCCGCACCTCACGTCACCTTCATGGTAGCTTGGGAACCCTGCATAATGTTAGTGTCCATGGGATAGTGTGCCTAGACCGACCTCACGAAGTGCCAGTGTTAAAGACAAAACTTTGCAGAAATATTGAATTGTAAGCAGTGAACAGGTGGTAAAAAACTACCTCATGTGAAACGGGACGATGCCTCTGAACGTTCAATGCATGTACCTAGAAGGAGCTTGTCTGTCCTCAAAACCCTTAAGTTATTCAAACGTGCACGAAGCTAAGGCAGATTTAATTGCTTCGAGCACGGAGAGAAAGCTGTTACCAGCTTTCAAACCCCAGTAAATGTAGAACATGCGAAAGATCGTTGCATGTGAATTGGATTCAGTGAATCTCATTTAAGCTCGAAACATCGTCACTTAAATGTTAAAGAGTTGTGGGAGCATGTGGTGTTATTCGTTGCTCAATCACCGTCAGGACACTTCATCCTGATCATGATGATAAGGGCGTAATTTATTTTTCAGTTAGCGGCGAGGGCCTAAGCCCCCACCCCCACCCACCCCCAACCTACATAGGCTCCAAACTCAAACGTTGAGAAAAAGTGGGCCAAATCCGGGGAAAACTCGTTTGCTATCGTTCGGGGGGGGGGGGGGGGCAGGTTGAGTCACTTCTCACCGCTCAGCCCGCAAACATATTTCGCGAAACTACGCCCCCGTGTCACGACCATATCATGATCTTTGTCAGCACAACGGTATCCCACACCGCTCGCTTGCTCCGCGGGAGAAAAAGAAAACCGAATCGCTGACCGATGAATGGCTGGCCTTGCCTCCGGAGTTTAGACCATGCCGCAACCCGCAGGGGAAGAGGTGTAATCTGACAATGGGGGTAAGCCAAAAACATGGTGAGGTATCATTCCCTTAAACTCCTCGGATAATATTCTGGTGGCATATTGCTGTTCATTCAGTCGGCATGTGGAGTAATTAAAGTGGGTGTGCATGTGCATATACATTTCGATGTGCACTATGTCATATGTACCGATTGGTCAATGACAGCGATGCCCTCCTGTTCGATTCGCTGGGTGTGCCCATGATCAGGCCGCCTGAGCCGGATTCGCTGGGCGCGCCCATGATCAGGCCGTTCCAGCCATGTTGCGGAGCGACCACCTTTGCAAAGTTCGTGGTCGGCGCGGAGCAGCTGTCCATCAGCCACACATCGACAGGGGGCGCGCCATATATAAACTTGGCAGAGGGCGGCGTGCACGACAGTCGTCGACTTTCCGCCACACTGGGAGCCAACATGAAGGTAGGCCCGGCTCGAGCTTCCGCGGCCACGTGTGGAGAAACCAGTGCGGCAGGTGTGGCTGGTATGGCCGGTGTGGGATATGTGGCAGATGTGCTAAGTGTGGCAGGTGTGGCGGGTGTGACGGGTATGACAGGTGTGGCAGATGTGACAGGTATGGCAGGTGTAGCAGATGTGTTAGGCGTGGCAGACGTGGCAGGTATGGCAGATGTCGTAGGTGTGGCAAGTATGACAGGTGTGGCAGGTATAACAGGTATGCTAGGTCTGGCAGGTATGCCAGATGTGGTAGGTGTGATAGGTGTGGCAGATGTGACAGGTATGACAGGCATAGCAGGCATGACAGGTGTGGCAGATGTGACAGTGGGCACGCCGGTTGTTATTGGGCGACCGCAATCTAAACGTTTCGCCATTGGAAGCTGGGGCCTCCTGTTAGCTGATAGAGCCCGATGTTGATCGTCTAGGACATTCTTGGCTCCTGCGTGTCTGAATGGCCTTCCTTGGGACTTGATGGAATATCCTGTATCGGTCATCTAGGGCCTCCTGTCAGCACGACGGAGACTCCTGGGGCTCATGGGGCCTACTGGGGCTTTTGTCGCCATGATGGGGCCTCCTGTTTGAAGACAAGTAGATTGATTTAAAGTTGATGGGAAGCACTGCCCTAGGTTAGAACTGTAGCCCAACCTCTTTAAATGGAGAACAATCCTCAACAGCACAGAACACGCCGCGTATCGAAGAACAGATGTTCTCACAATCGGCACTGTGCTGCCGTCCGGTGGTGAAGGGCAGCCACGTAACCTGTGTGGCTAGCGGCCCAGTTTGGACGCCTTGCATCCCATTACGCTGTTTCCAGTGCACTCGGGCGAACAGGAAAACAACGCAACCTGATTGTTCTTGCGATTGTAGCTGTATTGCCTGAAATGCCCGGATAAAATCATCAGAAACATTCTTGAAGTCATGTCCAGCGCGCGAACCTGCTGAGCGCGGAGAAATGGCTAAGCCTACACAAAAATATGAAATGCTTTTTGACCACGTTAACCAAATTTGCTCTAATAGTTGAGAGGGTTCGGAGCTTACCAACTAAATAGGAGTCCGCACCTCTGAGCCGATGGATGTAGTCAGAAAAGATCGCCAGCACTTGCCGTCTCAGCAAGTTTTCCCTCGTCACACCGGTGACGATCAGTGTATGTGTGCGCTGTTGGCTTCGGGTCATACCCGGCAACTGGCATCGACAGTGGTAATACGAAGAGACCATTTAACTTTGCCGCTACCACCGATATGGCCTGACACATGCGAAGGGACGCAAACCAGCAGAAGTGACGACAAACCACTTGCTCCTCGTCTCCAGTTCTGCGCTCTCGCAGCTGCCCCTGTCCTCTTTTGACCCAGATTGACACTCGTGACGCTGATGGGCACCGATAGATGTCAGCACTAACCCCCTAACTCTTGGCGTAAGCTGCTACTGCTCTGCGCATTTGCGGTCGTAGACTCCATTTTCGACATGACCTGACAGCTAGATACTCAGTAAACAAGATGTCGCCAGTAACTGCTTATTCAGCCAATTACACCAGCTTCCGGTGCTGATAAATACCGCTGCCATTTTTCGACACGGCCAAACGCCTACTCATGAACATGCCACGGAACTAAAATGCGCCGACAGATGCCACTAAAAGTACTAACTGTACTAACTGTCTGGGCGGCGCTAGCCACCTGTTCCTGCTCTGCGCGCTAACCGCCGCCACTACCATCTTCAAGGATGACATGCCACTCACGAAACTCGCCGGTAGATGTCACCACTAATCGCCTGCTCTGCCGCCAGCTGCTGCTGCTGTGCGCGCTGGCGGCCGTCGCCGCCGCCTCTTCCGTGTCACACGTGTCTGTACAGCGGCGCGAGGGCCTGCAGAGGCCCTACGGCCCCAGCGGCTACGACCAGTTCAGCTACGGCGTGCAACACGGTCCGAGCCACGGCTACGGCGGTCCCGGAGCCCTCGGCGGCGGCGGCTTCGGCGGAGGCTTCCGCGGCGGCTACGGCCTGAGTGGACTGCAGTACAACTTTCCGCTCGGGTACGGACAGTCGGTGCTCGGTTTGCACATCCAGGATCCTTACACAGGCTCGGCCGCCTGGATTCGCAAGCAGGGCAATGTGCTGCCCAACTTCCGCCACTGAGGGAGCGTGCGTCATTTGCCGTGACGTCATTTGCCGTGACGCCATGTATGCGTGCCATGACGGTGGGCGAGAGACGGTCTGAATACACTCGCAGGGAAACGTTGTGTCAAAAACCTTCACAGATTAAGAATGATGCCGTTACCTGTGACGTCATCATCGTCGACGAATTCGGTGCCTTACACAAGCACTGCTGGGTCGTTTTTGGCACATAAATTGGAGCTCCGAGGTTCAACTTTTCCAGGACCGATGCATGGCATGTCATAGGCATGCGGATAGGCCAACACGGCGACCAACGGAGCGGGATCGATTGAAACGGTCGTTTTCGTCACAAGACGCTCTCACGTGACGTCAGCATCTTTAAGGTACTGCGCGTCTTGTTATGCTGATTTAGAAGCGCCGTAGTGGATGTATGCTTAGATGATACAAGTTGAGACGGACCTTTAGAATAAAGCCGACAGCGGCTGTTTTCTTATGACTTTACTGCCCGCTGGTGGGAAGTTCTCGGCACAAAATCCACAGGATTCCAGCCGATTCCACGGAATGCGGTCAAAAGAAGGTGCAAATGAAGGATGGCGGCCTTATACGTCATGCATTATTTGCGGTCACCGATAGTTGAGACGGTCGGCGCACAAAGATTGTAATTTGCTTAACAGGCCGGCTGAAGCGAGTGGGGCGCTGCGAGCGGCCCCATGTTCACTTCATACCGCTATGGTTACATGATATTCGAAAAGGCAGCAGCAAGGCAGAACCTGTCGACGGGATAGACAACTGTCGACTTCACCTGTCGACAGGATAGACAACTGTCGACTTCACCTGTCGGCAGGATAGAAACTGTCGACTTCTCTTCAACGTCAACAATGTGTGACAATTCACACCCTGCCAATGCGGTTTATGCTGAACATATAGGTCGCGAAATGATACCATGATGAAGATTTCGCATCTATCTGGGGCGCACTTATAGAACATCGGCGTAGCCCCATCTTGTCATTCATGTTCAGCTGTGCGGTACTGACAGTAAGTCTGAAAAGGTAACCAATAGTGGCTGAAGTTGGGGTGGGCGGGAAGGCGGCTTGGCACCGTTGGCTTGCCGGCACACGAGTTTTGTGACTAGCTGAAAGGAATAATAAAGGGTCCTAGAATTGGCCTTTTTGTTGGACGCAGACTGGAAATTGCGTCGACAGTCTTCAAAAACTCTGCAAGTCAATTTGAATTTAACCCCGTGTCCCATGAGCAGAGCCCTTTCCCCAAGATATTGGCATGCTGGTCCAGGTCTGCCATGCCTTGGGAATTTTCCCAAGGTCTTAATGAAGTGTAGTAACTAGAGCGTTGCGTGGGTAGCATCTCATCACTCTGAAAATGGGAAGATTTTGGAAACATGGTCACCGGAAATAATAACAATCATGACTTCTTACCGAGTGCAAACGCCCTTGTCGCTGAATTATCCCCATATTGTTTTGCTGTGTTCCCACTATTCTGAAGGCTTACATGACACGCCTATTTTGTGACAAGTTCACAGCTACCACATGATATATGATCTTAAAAATTCACATCAAACAAAAATCAAACCAAAACTTATGGAAACAATCTATCACCACTAGTTCTGCGTACTGGTGGCCTTATGGTGACCGGATTTACACATCCTCAACCCACGAGCTGAATCCGTGCGCATGCGTATACTACCAGCTGTCGAGCCCCACCGCCCGCGCACCGCCCACAAGCCGGCCGAGCGGCTGCCGGCCCGACGCCGGCTTCGTGTGAGCATAGCTGGCCCAGCTCTGGCCGCTAGCATTCCACCGATCCCCGCCTCGATCGCGCCCTTGGTTCCCAGGCCCCGGCATGGGCGCGGACCGCACGCATTCCGCTATCGCCGGCGATCACGTCTGCGAAAGGAGCTCCGCCGCCAGCCAGCGCCGTTTCTGCTAGATCAGGCCATTGTCTCGTGCAGCACCACCGCTTGGCTCCGCCAGCTGCAGAGGCCGGGGTTTTCCTGCTCTGCGCCGGACACGTGCACCGTAGTCCGGCCAGTGAGTCGGGCCGCGTGGAGACAAACGACATTCACTGCGTGCATGACGACATATATTAGCCTTAGCTGCCACGTACACGTAAGCACACTGAAGAAGGCCAAGGACACTGGCAAGACGCATGAGCCATTCAGGGCCGGGCCATCCCAACGCCAGCCACATTGAGTGCCCTTACAGCTGGCCTACACGTAAAAAACGCGAGGAAATTGGACCCTAACATCACTTACGCATACGATGCGTTACTGGTCCCGTTTTGCATACCTCCCGTGGGCATGGTATGAATACAACGCGCATGTTTTATGTGGGGTCTGCACATTGAGACAAAAATCCCCAGCAAAAACGTTTTGTAAATATTGCTAGCATACACTGTTCCACCACACCTACTACACGATTAAAATCAAACACTATGCCAAAAATCGTTACTAACTGTAGAAGCGCCCTGAAAGTTGACTGCGTGCATATTACGGTCAGACATATAGTCCCTTCACCAATTGCATTTGGCCCGTGTCTAATTTTCCTCAGCACACAACTAACAATGTCCAGAAATATGGTCTGTTGTCCGAAACGCAATATCACAAGCGCTGAGAGATCGGAAAACTTCCTTCGAACCTGACACAGCTGTCAAAATACCGAAAACCACACGGACAACGCGCACAGAAAACATATTCCCTAACATACATGTTTCACACCTCAACAAAAAGCGGCTTTTGAAAAAACAGCCCCTCCCGTTTAGAGAAAGAAGAGCCCGAGTATGTCAATGATGAGACGGCGCACACGAGTGCGCTACGGATCCCAAAAGGCTGAGATTCTAAACAGCCCACAGCCAGGGCAATGTACAGCGAACAACGCACACATGCGACACGACTCGCAATACAGGTCCACGACCACGCACAATAAAACGCCCGGAGCGCTGTTTCACAGTGAGTATGGAATGTTTCGACATCCAGAGTACCGAGTAGAGTACCGAGCACCGCCATCTATCGAAGGACAGACTCACTGAAGCCTGTTCCACCCAAGACCAGGGGAAGTAGTTCAAAGATTCCTTTGGGAGGCGACCCCCAGGCATTGGTGGAGCTTCGAAAGTGGACTTAAGTGGCTTTCCTCCCACTGCATCACGCAGTGTTTTGGCCTGCCTGATTGCAAACACGAATCACCCAAAGTCATTCAAAACATAAGATGTGACAACAATGCATGCACCGTTTCCTGGACTGCCCAGCATTAAAAGAGCAAGGATAAAGATGTAGAAAAAGTAGATATGGCTCCAGCAGATTGCATGGTTCATGAAAATATGCATCGCCCATAAGAAGCATTGGTAATATCCATTGAGCCTGGCATGTTAAAATAAAACTAATACTTGTCACATGACCTATAAACTCACCAATGCACTCGGCCCAGTAGCAGAACATTCATAGCCAGCGCGCTGGGCCATGTGGAATAACTACCTTGTCTCCATTTTCCAATATGCATCCCAGCTTTGCGCATTATATCTCGTAATTTCTGAATTTCTTGATCAAGTCACTGCCTTCTGACCGCCTCCATCCGACCAGGTCCGGCCTACCCCAGCGGATGGACTCGCCCGACAGCGGCGGCCTTCCCCCTGGCTGACTCCGCTGTCGATGTGGACTCGTCCGCACCGCCGGCTTGAGCGGGTAGCATTCTGTCCGCAGTCTTCGGTGTCGCCCAATGCATTGACTGCGTGAGAAAATAACGTGTCACCGAGGGTGCAAAACGCACTCATAACATATGCGAACTGATGAAACACCGCACATGCCGATACACATTGAAGGCGACTTTGGTGGAACATATCCATCACATAATGTAAACACCGTAGTACAATGCCAGTTGGGACGCCAAACTACTACATAAAAAGGCGACGACGCAATGGGCATTGTAACTCCGCACGTAGTTTTTGCTGCGACGAAGATGATATTGACATGGGCCCCCAAGCCCATGTTGATCAGAACAGCAAAGCAGCGTTGCCAGGCAACATAACCAGTTTGGTGCTCTAGTGCACGAGAAGCTGACCAAGAGAACATTGCCAATTAAGTTGTTTCTATCATATTCCAACAATCAGTTTGGAACATTGTTCGAACCAGCCCGCGTCGATACTGGGTCGCAAATAAACTGGCTGTGGGCGTCAGCTGGCCCGAGGCGCCAGCCGGCACAGCCATGTCAGCCACACAGCACAGACACCTCCGTCACGGCGCGTCAGGTGTCTGCGAAGACCCCAGACGGCCGGTCGCCGCCGTGTCGCACGGCGCCCCTCACCGTGTGCACGCGGTCCTTCATGCCGAGCCAGTCGCGGAAGGACACGGCCAGGCCGCTGCTGCGCCACTTGTCGTAGGTGGCGCGCCGCTCGGCGTCACACAGCGTCTCCTTGGCGAACTGGCCGCAGCACGACCCGTCACGGTCAGCACCGGACACCGAACGAAAACAACGGCGGAAACGACGGCAGAAACGACGGCGGAGACGGGGACGCGGTCAGATCGGAAACGGAGCGACACGGCGTGATGATCTCGTTACCGGACAAACTCCCGAGCCTCACACGGTCGCGTATACGGCAGTTCGGCGCGTTCGGGGAGGTGTACGAAGGACCCCCAACTAAACGTGTGATGACATGTGACAGTTCTGTTCATCGACCGAGACAGACGCACGAGAAAGGAGGCCAGACAAGAAAGGAAGAAGAGAACAAGGTGGTGCGCGTTCCCACCTGTGGCAGGAAGTTTTGCGGCCACTCCACCACGATGGATACACATTAAGTATCATTAATTCCTCATGGATCTGTGCCGCCATGTTTTAGGTAGCTCATGCGACTGTGTGGCAGGTGGTTAAATTGATGCTGCGAGGCTGTTATTTTATCAGTTTTTGTTCGCACAGCGTTGTCCTGTTTCACACTTCCGAGTCTTACTCGAACGGATGAGCGGTACTTAGTGCGAAGCCAACATAGTCCCATAGTTCCATGTTAGCACAGCGTGCACGATGTGCCTGCTATGTGCATTTTCAATATGTCCACATTTTGCTGGGGAAAATCTTATCTGGCTCTCCACGCCTTTTGCAAATGCTGGCTTGACACTCGTGGCAACTTCGTGCACAGGTGGCAGTGCGTGTTCCGCTAAGAAAACAGTCTAAGCCCTGTTTCCAACTTTTGCTGATCCCATTTCTGCGCACTTCAGGGTGTTTGCCATGTGTGTGGGTAAAGGATTGGTTGTCTATGCACACTCCCTGCACTGGATCAGCCCAAGAGAATAAAGTGCTTGTCAATCATTGAGGCTGCTGGTGCTACCCAGTTCTGCTGTTTCGAGGTCACTTGACCGCGACCAATTGAGCCAGGAGAGGTGACGACAAGGATGGCATGCAGTGAGGCGATGATCAGAGTACCCTTTGCGCCTACCTCTGACCCAGGCATGTACTGTGGCAGCCTTACTTGCCCTGCCTATCCAGCTAGAGAAGCCTGGAGCAGAGCTTTCAGTTATTAAACTAGACCCATGCTATTTGGGAAGTGGTGTTGGGTGCGGCCGAGTTCTGTTTGGCTCTGAGTTTATCCATAGGTTGCCATTAAAAATGTTCAGAAAAAAGCATCAGGTACATGTGGATTCAGACTACTTATTGAAGTTCATTAAAACTTTCTTGTTTGAAATCAGTATGAGGACAGCTGATATAGGCAGCAAAATAACCATGATACCAAAAACAAAAGTAATCATGGTATTATTAACTGAAAACAGTAAAAAATAACTCATGTTTAATCAATAAGAACTGCATAAGCATAGGCACAACACAAATAACCCCCACATGGGGAAGGCAAAGATCATGGTGTAAAGCAAAACAGCTGAATGAAATACACTTTGTTGAGCCATAAATAAAAGCTGAGCTTGTAAATTTAGAGTACACAACCAAAGCTGTAATGCCAACTGATGATTACATCAACAGCACTCAATATTTTGAGCTGTGCTCATATTGAAAGAATATAAACAGAGCTAAACATGGAGCTTAAAAGTCCTGACCATACCAAGGTCTGCTCTGTACAGAGCTCCTAAACATAAAGCATTGGGACACTCTTTAGGATGAGCACAGCTCAAAATGTTGAGCGTCATCAAAACAGTCACTGCTCATATTTTGTAGGCCATTAATGTGACATAAAATTGTTTAACTGTTGATGCTGCAAACCAGGAACTGGGACCCTTTCTTTCTTACACTGAGCACATAACCCTTTATCTTATTCTCAGAGCACATCTCAAGTCACAGGATCAGGACTTCCAGGAAGTGGATCTCCATGATCAGGATCTTAGCTGGAACCATGAGAACCAATAGTCAAAATTGCAGCTCAGAGCATTATTTTAGGTCTGATTTCAATACCTGGAGCAGCTGGAACTGGTGCTCTGCTGAACTATCTCCTGGGTTCTTGTCAGGGTGAAGCTTCAGTGCCCTGACTTTGTACTCTGCCTGAATCTGCTCCACCTGGAAAAGTTCCATGATTGGAGAGAAAATTGACTGATCAGCACAAAACAAGACTGAGAACCACAGATCATGAAAAGTATGATATTCAGAGATGCACCACTCTGATTTAGTTTGAATTTCAATTAATTCCATGCCTTTATAAAGAACGTACATCACCAGGAAAAATCAAATCATGGAATGACACACATGACAGCGGGCACATCTCACCGTGGAAGAAGAATGGCATCCAAGAAGGGCATAAAAGTCTTGATCCTCATTTTTGAAGCTTAAAATAGCATCTAACCCACCACCAGGGTGTGCTGCAGAGGCAGAACTTCTTGAATTACTTGCAGTCATCTTTGCTGGATGTAATATTACATACTTTAACTAGATCCTGAAACATATACATCAAGATGATACAGCTCAGCTGGTTTATATGTGAACAAGGGAACACCCTAATAGATCAAGCATTATTCAGAAATTTGTCATATGAATAATCCATGTGTTTGTCATATTGCTAGCTCTATGAGCAGATGTATATCAAAATCGCCTAAAAGCTGTGAAGACCAAAATCCTCTCTAGGTTGATTTTTCTGGTTAGTCAATTCCCCTACACCATTTTGATGTCAAAGCCACATGCCAAACAGACACAAGTCACCCAAATCCCTGCCCTAATACTGGATTTGCCAATGTTTGCCCCTTCTCATCAAGCACTGTGCTGCAATGCTGGGGGGGGGGGGGGGAGGGGGGGAGAAGGGCTCAAGTGCCTCCTACTGGCCATGCCACCATCTATTGGTGGAGCCCATGCTCTTCCATGAATAGCGTGCAGATCCAACAGAACCAAAGGAGCACTACCATTACAGTCAGCATTTTTACCCTGCGATGTTTCCCTTCCAAACATTACGTCACCGGGCAGATATTTAAATGCCCAAATATCCTCCAAGGGCACTCAATTCCGACAATGCACAGGACACACGAGCACAACACATTTCATCTGTGATATGAAAAATGTACGTGCCAACGATGATACACACCCGTACGTCAACTGTTTTACTGCCCCGGGTATGCATCAGAGCAATCGAAAACCGTATGTCTCGCCTTGCACGGACCAGGACATGCACGCCTCCCCCCCGCAACATGCATTGCGTTGTGCGGACATTTTCAGTGCGCCAAAGTGAGAATGTTGGTTCCTTCTGTTCTAAACCAGAAAATCTAGCTTACACCTGCTATGATACACAAATCAATGATTGGACTTAGAACATGGCACCAGTGAGCTTCCGAAAGAACGCAAGCGGAAAGCAGCATCGCCTTACCGTGAGCAGGAATCAAGGGCAGACATACGGCCTTCAGAAAATGTGACGTTTATGCCGCGGAATGAACTGATTCCATTTGGGCCCAATGGGCAGGTTGAGGTTTGTGGCGGTGTGGCAGTTATCAATGTAGCCAGTTTCCCTGAATGTTTGAAGCTTGTTGGTGTTGCAGCAATAAAAGGAGTTAATTGCCCGTGCAAGATTTGTCTCGATCGCAGCTTTGAGCTATTCCTGGATGTTGCAGGTGTGCTGAATCGAAGACGGCCAGGAACACGCTGCTCATATTCTGAAAGGTGATATTTAAGCTGACACCGGGCATTCGCTGCAAAGATTCAAGATGGCCCTCTGTTTCCGGCTTGCTTCTCGGACTGCTGCAGCTGCTCGCTGCAATCAAATCCTGCAAAAAAGCCTGATAACCACAAGTAGCAGGTCATGGGCCATTCAGCCTTACTCAGCAGAAGAATGGGAGAAGAAGAATGAAAGGCTGGGTCGTCCGATGTCGCCCCATTTGACAATTTACAAGTTTCAGCTGACATCCGCGCTATCCATCACACATCGAGCCACAGGCATGGGGCTGCATTTTGGCCTCTTGGGCTTTGCAGGTGCCATGGTTCTTCTCCCTGGCTCATATCCATACTACCTGACAATGATGGCTGGATCAGCAAAGGGAAAAGTGGGCATAATGGCTGCAAAGTTTATCCTCAGCTGGCCATTCTTCTACCATACCTTCAATGGTGTGCGTCACCTTGTTTGGGATATGGGCAAAGGCTTTTCCCTGAAGACCCTGTACATGTCTGGATATGCAGTGGTGGCACTGTCAGTCATTGCTGCGATTGGAGCATCTCTTATGTGAATGTGAAGTATGTGTAGTGAAGACCTTGCTAGAAGATGGTGAAAGCATGCTGTATATTGTGACTTGTATGCTGGCTTTAAGGTGGCAAGATGCAGGCCATAAACTAATCTCTGTGGATTTCTGTTATTGAATTACTGGTCTAAAGTTTCTAAACATAATATCTTGCAGAGCACAAGAAGGCAGTTTGCAGGGAAAGAAGACATTGCAATGTGCTTGAGATTAGATGCAAAACAATAGTAAAGTGCTACCTCAAGCATTGATGCAGAAAGATCTGGCTGTTGCCATTAGGTTGTGCTTCACTGAAATAAACCTGAAATTGACATGGTGTTCTCTGTGTTTTGTATTGCATTGGTAAATGATGCAACACATTATGAGGCTCTTATTGGATTACACTAGTCTTCACTTCCCACATTTTTGGTGCATTTAGATGAACACTGGGTATTACCAAGTGATTAAAGGTGAAGGCATTATGACAGTTATGGTGTGATAAACAACCCTTTGATGCTTTTTTTAATAACTCAGATCCTCCTGTTCTTTGTCAGTATTGATTTGTTGTTCAGTCTCATTCTGTCATTACCATGTGAAATGTGATAGTTTCATAAAGCAGTGATCTTGGCCAGATGATTTTGACATTGTGCAGTTGGTACGCAAATTATGTTAGCACAGTGATATACTGTTTAAAAACTTGCTGGAGAAATGGAAATTCGGACGAAATCCATGCAGTTACATGCACCAATGGGTAAATGGCGCTCCTCCATTCGATGGGTTATATTGTGTCTAGATAAAAATGTTGTAGCACAATCGAAGCGCGTTCAACAAAAGCAATTGTTAGTAACCACGCTCAATAAAAGCTAAAGATGTCACGGCGAAATATGGCAATTTGGTTCATAGCACCTGAGCCCCTGCACTACTTCGACCATTGCGGAGGGAGTCTACTGTGTTGGTTCCGATGGTAGGCTATGCCAGGAATTTGTGGGCCAAAAGCACGCATGCAGGGGTGCGTGCGCAATTTTTCCTACCATTTGTTCGTAAGGCATTAAGTCCGTATGGTAGAATGACGCAAGCAAATGCTCGTAGGATGTTAAATACGCATGGAAAATGTTGGCGCTGGCAAAAATGCGTCTCACGTGTACAAATGTTCGTAATGTATTTAAGTTGATTCGACGAAAGTACGTACGCGAAAGTTCGTGAGTAGCATAGGTATGGGTGGGGAACGAGAGCCAGGGACGCCACGCCGCCCCACACTTGGGGCGGGGAGGTGAGGGTGAGGGAGATGCCCACACGCGGGCCCCTCCCTCCCCCACAAGTTGGGGGGGGGGGGAGGGGCAGCGATGCCATCTGCCTCCCCCGCTTTTCAGATTTAAGTTGCGTCTATCCTACTTTTGTGCTACCTTTAACTTGCATGCTGATTGATCTAGACTCAAGATGCGCTTTATTTTTCGTCCGTCAGTTCACCATCACTGAGCGTCAGGTGCAGGGCCGAGGCCGTGCGGCTATTCGGAATGCAGCGTCGGGCGTTGTGGCTGTTGGTAAGATTTGCGAGCGCGCGTGCTCCAAACCATGGTACATAATTTTTCTCAGTAATCGATTTTGACTGAATGTTAAACGCTCTAAGACAAGATGGGCTCGCCATGTCCATACAAATTTGGGACCCCATTTCTATTTACAATATGCGTCCATGGGGTCCTCAATATAACAGGACACAGAAAAAATATGGAACTGTAGTCTTGTGTACCAATCATTGCACCACTTGCAGCGACTAGGGCTGTGGTATCAATGAGGGTACTTGTGTGCGCCTGGGGTCAGTTGTGCGTATCAGAAGGCGTCCCGCGTCTGGGCGGAGGACAGTATGGCATGAGGTATCCCTCTAAGGGCCTCCGGATCGACCAGGGGATCCCGTCCCGCGTCGCCAGAATGACGGCCGGAAGACACCCCCGCGTTTGTATGGAATGACCCTCCAGCCTTTGACCGGTAACAGTAATATGCCACTAGCGTTCTGCTCAACGGCCCCTTGGCTGGAAATGAAAAGAGGCCTCATTATTGAAAATAGTGTGTCGAAATGGGTCCAAAAACGAACAAGGCTCTCCCATGTTTGCATGAAAACCCTCATTTCTTTGCAAAATTGATTAGTGAAACAAATTACGTCAGAAGGTTTGAACATGTGCGCCGCAGTCTCGGGAGCAAGGACTGCGATGGCCTGGGTTGCATCTCCGTAATACTGAACAGCGTTGGCTACTGCAAGTGACAACAGACGGCGGGCGCCGTGTTTATCTGTCCTCGGGACAGATGTGACGGCCAATCCGCCCTAATCAATCTAAAAATCTGTCCTCGGGACAGATGTGACCGCCAATCCGCCCTAATCAATCTAAAAATCTGTCCTCGGGACAGATGTGACCGCCAATCCGCCCTAATCAATCTAAAAATCTGTCCTCGGGACAGATGTGACCGCCAATCCGCCCTAATCAATCTAAAAATCTGTCCTCGGGACAGATTTGACCGCCAATCCGCCCTAATCAATCTAAAATGCCAGAGGTGATCTGTACCCACGGACTACCTTCTAAATGTGAGATATGATGTCCGAAAGCGTTCAGAGGTACTTCTTTCCGAAGCGTCATCATTTTCGCCCACCAGTAAGCCACGACTCAGTATCAGCTGCTGGGCCGACGTTGCGCGGCCTATGGAGACTGCGACGCCTGGCGTCGAGGTTTTAGTTCTAAATTGCGAGCGCGCATGTTCAACGCTATGTTACATAATTTACATCACCAATTGATTCGGACTTAATATTGAGCATTGGCAGACAAGCATGGCTAGGTCATGTTAATACACGCTGCTTACACATTTCGATCTACAATCTATTTTCGCGGGTCCTTAATATGTCTAGGGAACAGAGATAAAAATATTTGGACATGCGCATGAGTTTTATCGACTTGGAATTAGTCCATTTAACCATTGTAAAATAAAGAACGCCGGCGATTTATTACATGCAGCCGCTCAAGGCCTGAAATCTGCAGGTTGTTGACTTCAAAAAACAAATAGAATTGATCTCGCGGTAGCTTCCGGTATCTGTTTCTGTCCTGGTTACAAGATAAACATAACAATACAACGAAGAAAATTGTGTCCCTTGTTAACAAATTAGCTATACCCAGCGGATTTTTTGTGTGGGGCATGGTAACCATCAGAGGGTCTTTGTCAACCCCTTGCCGCCCTTGGGAAGGTTTTCCCTTTCGTTCCCGTTGGGAATGTCCCTGTCCACATACAAAGGCAAATTAAGTCGGCTACGTTTAATGATGGGCAGCTAAATGTCCCTTGGACCAATTCATGCCTAAGCTACACAGCTTTCCGAAATATTATTTTCTGCCGTGGTGTGGTGTTAGGAAAAGTAACTCGGAAAAAGATACTGCTGCATGTGTCCGGTGCATGCTTTACACACCAATTGGTTGAAATGCTGATCCACAAACATGCGCCAAAACAGCCATACGATCAGTTCGCAATCGGTCATGCGGGAGAATAGCCGGGCCAGGGCCGCCGACGGAGGACGGGAGCAGCGCTCAGGTAATGGATATCCAAAAGAAGAGCCGTTTTTCCTTAGCTCATTTTTTACCGAATAACCTCGGGTTTCTGGGTTTTGTCACAAATTTTTTGGCAGGTGGTATTTCAAGCTTTCGAATTTGTTCGCATCTAAAATACTGCGACAAATCGTATCTCTTGAAAAGCAGCCGGCGATGTCTAGATGTATGAAAACTCTGACACGCTGTCAGCCATCGTCCCATGTGCTAGCCGCCGGCTCTCTGGACCTCCTCTGCATCAGCAGGGCCTCCTCTGCATCAGCGGGGCATTCTCTACATCAGCAGGGCCTCCTCTGCATCAGCGGGGCATTCGCTGCATCAGCAGGGCCTCCTCTGCATCAGCGGGGCGTGGCCCCAGCATCCAGCGACCGCC